TTTCTTGAATTTTGCAGTGCTTCAAGAGTACATCTCCTATACCAAAGGACACAATTAGGCAGATAAGGCAGGAGTGAACCGCTTATCTTCTGCAAAAATGGAATTAGGAATAGTTTATTTTGTTGTTGAACATTGCTTAGTTTTAGTTTAAGTTTTATCTTGATAGTTTTGGTAGGTGATTATATTTTACATTAAGTATAACTTTGTTTATATGAAACACATATATATATTATTGCAAAATTGTTCTGGGACAATTTTCTGCTTTTCAGGTGTGGTTTTATTGCAAAAATAAATTAACTTTTTTTAAAAAAAACGCCCAGTAGACGTCTGTTAGTGCACTGTCCGACGTATATAAACGTCCGGCAGTGTACAACCCGACGTCCAACGCCAACCCTAGCACAAAACCATTCAGGCATATGATCGTATGTGTAGACGTCGGGGGGATGGAGGCACCAGACGTCTGAGTAGACGTCGGGTGGAGGAAACGCCGGACGTCTGAGAAGACGTCGGGGGAGGAAGGCACCGGACGTCTATATACACGTCCGATGTCTACCCCCGACGTCTGAGTAACGTCACCCACAAAGACGTTGGGGGTAGGTCGGACGTAAAAAGGCCAAAAGAACGGACGTCTAAAGCCCTTTCTGCACTAGTGTACAGATGTTCCAAAATCATGATAGACTCGAGAGAGGACGGGGAACAAACTTGGGTTTCAATTAAAGTTATTTTATTTCTTTCGTTATTTGATTAATTTGAATTAATATAATTACATAAGGTTTTTGGAACGATTATTTTTTTAATAAATTATAAACATTTAAAAGTTTGAAAAATACGTTTCCGTACTATCATAAATTTTGAATTTTTACTGGTTTTGCAATAAACCATGAGATCTCAAGAGTTGGGGTGTTAAAGGAACGGAAACTCTACCTCTCTTATGTTGTGGGTGTAAAATTGTATAAGAAATTAAATCGATTAGTACAATATTTCAGTCACTCATTGACTCACCACATCATGCATCCCTACAGTAGAATAAGATGAATGTTGGGTGTGTTTCATGTGCATTGTATTAGGGGAGATAGGAATAAAGAGTCAAGAACAAGAATGCCTGGATAATCAGAAAAAGTGTTTTACTTTTCTTTTGAGCACACCAAAAAGCATTTTGCTTCACAAACTTTCCACTGAGTTGATTTCGGTTATGCATATAGTAGTTGAATGAATCTGATTATTTTTTAAGTTTTCTTTAGTGGAAGTTTTTTTCCCAATTGATACAGATTCGTCTCATTTGATAATCATCTTCTTCCACCAACTTTCATGAAATAAGGAAAAGAAATATAACTAGTATGCGTTTGGGGGCAAAAGAATGTTGGAACTTGATGACCAAAAAATGGATACCTGATCGATAAATCTGTCAAGAATTAGCAATTCACAGGTACGTAGAAAATTAGTTGTACATTTTTTATAAAACAATAAGAACATTTTTTTGTATCCTTGTCAAAGATCACTATTCACGTACTCTTAAAAGAAGCAAAAACTGTAAATTCGTTTTGCCATCACATTCAAACATGACAAAACGAAAGCAATAAAGAATTCCTAACAAGCAAATTGGCATTCTTTCAAGACGTGTCCAGTGCAGACTTAGATTTCTTTTGCTTAGCAAATGTTGAACCTTCTTCTTTAGACAAATTTGAAGAGGAGGATCCACTTTGAGTTAGAGGAAGAGTGATTCCTACATGGGCCTAAACTAGAAAAGTTGGTGAGACTTGCAAACGTTATTATTTCTTTGGTCACTTCAATATAATGACAATTTATGATTAGCAACGTCACATTAATATCAATGATAACAGAATACCATATTTAAATGTTAATAATAATAGAAAATCACAATGACTGTATAAGATCGCGTGTTTTGCAGAACATAATTGTATAAATAGGTAGGTGCAGCCAGAAAAGAAAAATAATTACTTGTAGCGAATGTTTTATGTCTCATCAGGTGACATCCAAGGATTAATGTAGGTTTTGAGATTATATGAACTTGGCTAGCAAAATGGAAAGCTGTGAAAGCTTGGTCACCTGTAATCGTCACCTATAAATTAAATTCATGATGCTAGTCAATTTCTTCTTGCTAATTTAAGTAAGGATCTCAAAACCCCTTTCTCGAACCCAATTCCATCCCAAAGCAGGGGAGTTCATGTTAACATTTTAACCTAAACGTATCCAAAATCAATGATCAGTAGAAAACATTGTACAATCAGATAATCATCACAGACAAGAAATAAATAAACAAAACATCTTAATTAATTTAAGTGGAGGAGTATCATTCCTCTGAGCAATACAAGAATAAAATATAGATTGTATATATGTGATGCACAATAATATAAATCAGCCTGAGGGAAACTAGTTTTAATGAAAAAAAAAAACAAAATTGTTGACATGTTGATAACTTTAAGTAAGCGATTAAAAATTTAAATTCACCTTTGTTATAGGTTCCCCAACTGGATAGATTGCAACTAATACATATTGATAGTCCTACACGCATGATTTCCAGTGATATGAACATGAAATCTTGAGAGAAATATTTACACTGACAAGATTAAACACATTAAACACACGGTAGTCTCCCTGATGGAAAAATAAAGCAAAAGGATCAATCAAACGCTCTTTAGTTTTCGGGTGCGTTAATAGAAGATAGACATGAATGGTCAAAATTGTCCATTTGCAAAGATGCACTTTCTAATCCACATACGGGTTGTTAACGAGAAGGAAATATTGATTCATCACTTGAATCTAATTCTTGGCTAAGTGTGGAACTGAACCAAAACAAGTAACACTTCTACATGTCGTAAGTTTTAATATTTATTATTGACCTTATATGGAAAATAATTACCACGCCAAGCAAACACATTGAAGGGAGAAACATCTTGAACTGCAGCAAAACCCAGGATAGGATTTATCTTCAAACCATGCAGTAGGAACAAGGAAATCTCTTGGCGCGACAAGACCGTTAGCACCTTCAATGTCAACAAGCATAATAAAATCTTTATTAACGACAATGCCAAAGTAGAAATTAATGCCAAGAAGAATTAACAAAAATGCAAATAGTTTGTCCTTATAATAATAATAACATTATAAGAATCAAACGCAACTCTAATGACAGAAATTGCGTAAAATATATAAATCTTAAATACCCATTCACACACCAGTGTTTTAAAGAAATAATATTAGGGTGTTGCTCCCTCCACCACCATCGCTTGCTCCCTCCACCTCTCTATTTCTCTTTTACCCCTCCCTTCACCTCTCTTTTATCCTTGAGTAAAATTTTACTTTTAGAGTTAATATTTTTAACTTCTACCCACTCCAATCCCCTACGCACACATAACCTCTTCTTTCTCTTTAACGTTCTAGTCCTCTCATTGTTTCTGTTTCATCTCTTCTTCTTTAACGTTCAAATTTTTTCTTCTCTCTTTCTTTCATTGTGGTGTGAGAGTGTGGTGAGTGAGTGGTTACAGGTGGTGGTGGAAGGAATTGTTCCAGCAGTGTCAGTGGTGCTTGAAGGTTAAAGGGATGAAGGTGGGTGTGGAGGTATGTAATCAACCCTAAATTAAAACTTAAATCAACATCCGTATAAGGCTAAACGGATGTCGACATTCGTTCATGGTCTGTTATCTTCTTCCTCCTCCTCTGCACACACATAGAAAATACAAACCAAAACAATTGTGAATAGGTGATGATTTACAAAAGTCAAATATAAGATGTAGGATAAAATTAAAATAATAAAAAATATAAAATCAGAACATAATTTAAATGTGTTGGGGGATGATTATAATCATAGTTAATCATCATCACCATCCTTCTTCTTAGAGTTCTTGGATATTTTTTCAAAAATTGCTTGAGATAAGTGGATTTTCGTAGCCCGAAGTTAATTTCAAAATTATCAACGAGGTAAAGCCCACTTAAAGCAATGTAAGGCCAACCGTGCTTTATAAAAGTGCTTGTCCGCTCTCTCAAGTTAATTACAAAATGGTCTCTTAAGTTAATTACAACATGACCAGTGAAGTAATAAAGCTAAATCAACCCAATCAAAAATTCAGCAGCCAATAATTCATCATTAGAGGGATAGTCACCCCTTTCCTGTTTCATTCCAACTTCAAGTAATCCAACAAGCTTAACAATTCTACACTCAAGGGGTTCATCGCAGACAGAGTCACCCTTTTCCTATTTCTTTTCAGCTTCAGACATTGCAATGAAATATCACTTTTGTAAGAATCCCAAATTTTCTCAAGAAAAGTATTAATAATATTATTGAAATCTTCATAGGTTCTCTCCAGCTCTACCTAATTCAACTTGAGGACCCCTATTATAACTGCTTTCTACAACTGCACCTTTCAGTGGTGAAAAAAAATTATAAATCTATCATGCAAATGAAGCAAAGAAAAAACTAACCTCTCGTAGACCCAAGACGTAGAAACGAAGCACCACTAACCACCGGACACACTACCGTACCACCGCACCGCTGCACCGCTGAATGACCACCGCAAACACCCCGCACTGCTGCACCACAAAACCCAAACGGAGATGGAGACAGGAAATAAACGATATGAAAAAGAAATAACGGATCTGAGAGTTAGAGGGGTGCGAACGGATCTTGGAAGGGATGGGAACGGATTTGAGAGTGGAGGGGGCTCTTGAAAGAGAGAAAAGAAAAAGTGAGACTTGCAAAGGTGGTGGGGCTACATAGTGAAAATCACAGTGAAAATGGGTGAGTGAATATGAATAGAAATTTAAGATTTCAGAAGAGTAAATAAATAAGGTTATAAAGTAAAAAAAAGGTTAATTTTGTAATTAAATTTTTTTTATAGAAAGTTGGGGAGGTGGAGGGAGCAAAGGTAGCGATGGAAGGAGCAACATCCATAATATTATTGTCCAAATCCTTCAATTAGGTCATTTCTTTTATATTCAGGGTGTAGAGAGAGAACAAACAAACTTTTTATGTTCGAAATGAAAAAGGAAGAAACCTGAGTTTATTGAGCACAGATTAAAGGGATATTATATTGGTCCAGAAAAGATTATATGCATGAAAGTACATAGTAATCATCTCCTACGACCACTTTCTAAGTGAATATTGAACAATCAAGTAAACATTCCTTTATAACACCCTCAATCTTCCCAAAACGCAAGGCTTTCACCTCAATCTCAATCTCCTAACAATAATGAACCCCACGATAAAAAGTTCTATTTCAATCATAAGAAAGAAGAGAGCGATTTAGGGTTATAAGATTATGGGATTTAAGGGATAAAAAAATCAATTAAGCTTTGTACAAGTTAAGGATTTTGAAACCCTTCTCTAGGCTGATCGTCTTCGTTGTGTTCGTCATCAATGTCTGTTTTGTCCTCATCTTTGCTCTCATGCATGGCATCGCCATTGTTTGTCTCCACGATGCTTTCTGCATGCTTGAGGATTTGTTCCTCACAACCACCAAATTCCTCTTCTTCCTTTGCATCCCCACCATTTTAGCCACTACCGTTCCAATTGTATCCACACGAGTTTGAGTAAGAAATCCTTCGATTTGATGATCTTTCAATCCAAAGAAGGAGCACGTGGCAAAGGGTAGGGTTCTAGGGGAAGGGCCAACGTAGAGGAGGCATTTGAGGTGGAGGCTAGGGTTCAAATGAAGGTTATGAGTAAATGATTTTAGAGTGAGACTGATTTTGAGGGTGTGAGTTAGTAGGTGATCGAGCTTTTAGGGTTTGAGAAAAGAAAACAAAAATTGAGTGAGGTAGTGTGTAAATAACTATTGATTTTTATTTTAAATATTTAATTACATTTAAATTTGTATATAAAATCAGTAGGTAAATTTATTTTTACTTATATATGAATCTTGTACTAGTACTTCCACATCCCATCCTTTCGCAAAATTTCCCACCCTCACACAATAAATTTGCATATGGATTTTACATATGGAAAATCAATAAGTAAAAATCTGTATGTAAAATTTTTATGCAATATTCTTCGAAAAACCTGTATGTAAAATTTGTATGTAATATCTATGTTACCTACAGATTAAAATCCGTATGTAAATACTGATAAGAAACACACATTTTTCTTATAGTGTTTCACTACAACAGTTGCCTTGGCTGAGCTTTGTTTCATAACTTGTTGGCCTCTGTATTGTAGCAGCCCGACAAGCTAGGCTTTGTATCTTTTAGGTTTCTTGGTGACAAGAAACCCAATCCCTCTTTTGATTTGAGAATAGAACACGTAACACGCACACAATGTAAACCTTGTATTATTACTTGGGAGACAAAGAAAAATGTTCAATAATATCGAAGGGAACAATCTCCCTTCACATGGGAACAATCCTGTCAACAACAAAGATAGAAAATTTGCTTTTCCCTAGATACCAACCCTCCTTAAAAGGTAAACCCTCATAAGGAACTACAACTACCTAACAACCTCCACCGAATTGTTTCCCTAAAACCCCCTAACAACTATTTTTTTTTTCCATTCTTTCTAATGTAAACTTTTATAGTTCTAGTAAGACTCTCTGGGTCCCAAACAACCTTTTCCTCAAGGTGAAAGTTAGGGAATTGGACCCTTTTGGTCGCCTTATCCTCCCATGTAGCCTATTTTGGACTCCTATCCTGTCATAATCCTGTCATTCAATGAGGACATGAGGTACCGGTTCCCTTTCTAACAGACTCAACCTTTTTCCAAACACTTTGAAGGGAAAGTAGATTTCCCCCTACCTTGTAAGTCTTTTGGTTGCTCTTTCTTAACCTGTTGTATCCCTATAACTATTTTAAGTTGGGATACATGGAAAACAAGATGAATGTGAGTTGTTTTTGGAAGCTAGAATTGAATGGCCATGGGTCCTTCTTGTTTGAGCACTTGGAATGACCAATAATACATGGCTTCCAATTTCGAGTGTAATTTGGCATGGATCTCTGTCTATGTGGTCTAATCTTCAAAAATACCCAATCCCCTACCTTAATCAAAGATACTCCGTTTCCTATTGGCAAACTTCACCATCTATTCTTCGACCTTGATAAGGTGATACTTTTGTTGTTTGAAGGCTTCATTCCTACTTTGAAGTTGTTGTGCTACTGCCTCCACTATAGTTTCTTCGGGCATGAAGCGAGCTAGGGAAATAGGAGCTCTCCTGCACACCACTTCAATGAGAGTGTATTTATCTAACCCTTGAAAAATGGTGTTATACCAGTATTCATCCCAAGGTAGAACGTAACTCCAGCTCTTAGGCTACTTAGAGCTAAAACACCTTAAGTATATTTCCAAGGTTTTATTAAGAGACAAGAGAAAATCGTTGGAAAAAATATGGAAGAAAACATCCCCAAATTTATTACTATGTTCCTTAAAATCATACATTGCCTTTACAACTCTTAAAATCATACATAGTCCTACAACAAAATCAAGTGTTTCAAAAAAAAAATATTCATAGACAAGAGCGAACTTCTACAAAAATAAATTGTGACACCTAACATCACTAGAGTTATATCAGACCCAGACCAGATGCTAATGTAGTTCTTCTTCTGATACAATATATAGATGTCAATCTTGTTTCCAGATGCAGTCTATGGATGTCATGTTCTCTGATGATGCAGTATATGGATGTAAAAATAAAAGATGATCATGGACTAATTTCATGTATTAAGAAATTATAATGACATGGATAAAATCTAATTATACAACCCAAAGATGGAAACTGCAAGACACAATCAAAGCTAAATAAATATTTTATAAGTTTAACCATATGAAGCAACCTTGGTGCCAACTAAAGGTTTATGGCATATCATGTTGATGCATCACATAATTTAGGATTAGTATAAAAAGGTTTATTCAGGGTAAATTAATTAGTTAATTAATCAACTTATACAACAAAGAAATTAGTCAGCCGTGAGACAGAGAAAGACTCCATTCTAATGCACCTGAATTGGGGTGCCTGTTAGACACCAACGTTTGTTAGCAATTAGAGCATCAACTGCAACAAAAACTTGGCTCTTAGAAGATTTTATGGTATGTGCTTCATCAAGAACAACTCTAAACCACCGAATTGAGAAGAGTCCACCATTATCATCTGCATTTTGTACATAGGACATATATTCACTAGTTGAAAAGTCTTGAAAATAAATAGGATTCACCGAGATCACATAACGCCAATCGAAACAAAAAGACGCAAAGAAAATTTCAAATCCAACTCAAATTCAAGAGACAACAAGTAATAGGATGGAACATTACAAACACAAGAAGCAAATTGAAATTCAAAATTAAGATTAAAATTCAAGTCCAACATGGAAATAGGAGTGAAGAGACATCGAACTTGCACGCACTCAAGCAGAGGAAATTAGAATTAAAAACCAATTATATATAGTCAGAACAGAGAATAAGAAAGCCTAAACCATTCAACAAAGCCAATTTTGTAAACAGAGAATAAGTCAATCAATAAGAGAATAATTATACCAGCATAAACCCTAATTCACAAAATAGTAGACGACATCAACAAGGGCAAGGGTTTCACCCACTACAATCGAGAACTTCAACCATGACAAACAATTCAAATGTCAAACAACCGCTTCACCAACCCCGTCGACAATCGAACGAGAACACTGACAAACTCATACCAAGGAGAAATGGAGGACAACGAAAGACAAAAAATGAAGAGAATGTAGTAGAATAAAGGCGTGTACGTAGAAACCGAAAGAAAAGAATGCTATAAGAACGTATTCGAGAAAACGAACTTGAATCTGTAAATGTTCCTACTTATTTAATAAATTGACCGTTATAGATACATCATACTCATGCCGTTTTTGGATTAACGTATAAAAAAGGAATTTCGATACCTTTCCCGATGTCATAACCACACCGATCGCCTAAACCTATATAACCTCATAGATGCTCAATTACTATTCTAAACAATCAAACCTACCACCCCATTTTTACCCGTTTCTAACACTAATGAACTTCTTTAGTCCAATCGTCGCGGCCACATAATCCCGAGGTTCTTACTCCCAATTTCAGTAAGACCACCCATCATTCCTTTTCCCTGCTCACCACAAGCACCCGTTCTCAATTTTTCTAAATAATTTTTGGTAAGTATCTATTGAAATCTGGCTATTTTACAACTTGATCTTTCGGTAATAATTTAATCATTAAAAATATATTGAAAGATATTAAGAGCTAAAGGATAAGGTATATATAACGCTAGCTGAACTCTAACATAGAATCAGTGCAACGGCTCAGCAACGAGTAAGGAGTGGAATATGAAAGGAGAGAAAGGGGGGTGGAGATCACAGGAAATGAAAAGCCCAGCGAAGCCTCAAGAGAACATGTAGTAACCGGCGAATAGTACATGCAGGGGGGGATTGGAAGAAACATGCAGGGTATGTCCACAAGGCTGATGGTTATGAGGATGCAAAGGAAGGAGTCCGAAGGGGAGACAAGAACGGTGCTTGTTGGACAAATTTTTTTATTCTGTTGACAGGGGGTGGAGAACAAAAAACCCAAAAGATCGCCAGCACAGCGGGGGGTCAAGCGACTGTGACACAAATGTGATCACCAACAATGAATTAAGACCAAGCTTGGAGTTTAACAGACATCGGGGTACTAATTAAAGGGTTCAATGTGATCTTCATGATCCTTCTGCAAGGGTATAATATCGTCGTCTGTGTAAATAAAGCACGTCGATCACACGTCAAATTAACCCCCGCATAATAAATTTCATTGTACTTGAGTAGGACTAAGTCATGCATCGTTTATGTCCTTCCAAGCATCTCACTACCCGTGCTTAGTTCTTCAATGGCACATTTCCTTGAGATTTTATGCTCCTTCATATAACATTGAATGCTTGAAACAACATGTTGTCTCTCCTGTTCAAACTTCACAGACAAAAACAACAACAAAAAGAAAAAACAGAATCCAAAGAAAATTAATATCTAACATATAGGATTTACAAATGATCTTAGAAAAAATAGTATTTCTTTACTTTTAAAATTTTATGAGTTTTGCAATTGCCAACTCTTAAAATAAGACAAATTTCTTATATAAACTCAAATTACTTATAAGTGTTCCATATAGTTTATAAGAAACTGACAAGTACAATTCTATTATTATTAATCGTCATATTTTCTAAAATTATGTATAATTCGTAATTCTCTATTTAGTTAAATTGATAGAAATTAATTAGTGTGTAGGGTGCACCTCATCTCCAACAATGTCATCCATGATCCTAATCAGCAGTATAGAAGCGCAATAATTACTGGTTTCATTCGTTGCCCATAAGAAGGATCTCCGCTGTTGTATTCTGTCCATGCTCGGAGGATGAGTAATCAGAGAGGGGAACCACGGACTTTTTCTTCTTGCAATGTATTCCTCCCACCTGGTTGGAACATAGTTTGGAATGGCCCATCTTGCCTCAACCCATCTGAGCCTGGACCTAGGTCTTTTGATCTAGCATAAAGGCACAAATGAAATATCTATATGCAGAATATATTCCACACTATTCGCTGTATATAGAAAAAGATGGTCACACTTTGTGTAATGCCCATCCTACGGGTTTTGGAATATGAAACATTTAAAAAGCTCCCGTTCATCTTTCTACCTCGTCTAACTTTTAAATAAAGATATATATTTTAATAATTCTACTTGATTCATGTATTTTATATTTTCAAAAAAATTGTTTTTTTTTGTGTGAATGACTATCAAGTAAAAAACGTGATGTC